GGCGCGGCGCCCCAGCTGGCGCCGCCCGCCGCGCGCCCCATTTTCGGAACGATGGTTCAGGAGCGCGCGGCGTGAGCAGCGGGCTCGCAATGGGCGGCGCGCCCGCCTACGTTGCCCGCGGCTGAGTGGCACCATGGTGGCCCCGACCCCCTGGCTGCGGCGCGCCGCGCGGCGCGCTGGCCGACGGGCCCGCGCGGAAAGCTCTGGCGGCAAGCGGCGGGGTGCAGATTTAAATCATGTGCCCAGGCGCGCCGAAGCGGAGCCGCTGCCCCGACGGCGCCGCGCGCCTCGCGGGCGAACATCGCGCTGGTGCGCGCGGCTTGGCAAGCTGGGGCCGCGTGCAAACGACTGGGCGCCTTTTGTTTTGTCGGGCGCCAACTGGCAGCGGCGCCGCCCCACGGCCAAGCACAGCCATGTCGCCGCGGCCCATCGGCGCGCGCGCGCGCCCATCAGTGACGCCGCAGGACTCGCTGAAGGCGGAGCGACGGGCTGCGATTCGCAACCCTGGGAGGGCGCAGTTGCGCCGCGGTCTTCCGCCCCTGGCCGCTCGGCGACAAGGGGGTGGCATTTCAACCCTGGCGCATGCGCATTCTCCATGATTTCAAATGCCATGCTTTCCATAAGCTTCGCATGTAGATGCGACATATATATATATATATGTATACACATATATATATATATGTATATATATATATGTATATACATATATACATATATAAATATATGTATATATGAAACGCTTACAACAGAAAAAGCCAACGCCGCAACGTAAACGTACTTGTCTGCTTCTTTACAACTATGGCTTAATGGATGTCTGTTCGTATGCCTGCACATGCACACGCAGGACTTGCCTGCGCGGCGATATGCGCCTATGAGCCTTAACAAAGGCAACCGGCCAACCAAACAACCAGCCAACCTGCGGTGCAAACAAGCCAACCAACCAACACAACCAATCAGCCAACCGCGGTTGGAGACCAACCAACCAGCCAACCAGCCAGCGCGGCGCGCGGGCGGAGAGGGGTTGGCGGCATGCCATTACCGAAAAACATATATTCATAAGCGGCGGCGGCACCAGCAAGGGCGCCGACCACGGCGGCGAGCCAATCGGCGCACGAGAAGTGCGAACGATCCCGCGCGCCCCCTGGGCACGATAGCCAGTCCAGCCGACCAGCCAGCAAACCAGCCAGCCGAGAGCCACTGGGCGGCTGCCAAATGCGCAACCGTCTCCATTTTCTCTTGCGGGGGCGGCGCTTGCCGATAGGCATATGGGAATGGAGCGAGCCTGGCGGTGGCAGCCAGCGAATATGTTCCGCTGGCCGATGGGCGCGTCGGCGTATGAGATATTACTTCCCAAGCCCACGGGCCCCGAGAAACCCTGTGGGGTGCCTGAGGGGGGACCAGAAGGTCTGCCCAGGCGCCCGTGGTCCAAGGGCACCGTTTGGAGGGAGCCCTGCGGGAGCCAGACGCTGGCCGCTGGGGCCGAGGAGGATTGCAGGAAGGGGAGGTGGGCGGTTTTTGGCCTCCAGGCCCTCCGTCGTCACCACGGTTGGACTCGCCTTCGAAATTCTGTTCGTCAGAACGCGCATTGTGCGTGCAGGAGAAAAAAAAAGGGAGGCGAGGGGCCCCCCCCGCGCGGCCCCCTCAGGCGCAGTGCCCGTAAAAGGAGGGACCGCTCTCCTGGGCCCCGTCTTCCCCTCCGAACGGAGGGTGCGGAAGGGCGCCCCCCTCTGTCCACCCTCACTCCAGCGAAGGTGGACAGAAGGAACGGAGTGGGGGGGGTGGCCCTACAGGAAGACGGCACACTGCTGGTCACAGGCCATGGGGCGTTGCACATAGTGCAACGAGGTAAGGGCCCTTCCCATCCCTTAAGAGGGGGAAGAAGGGCCCATACCACGACCCCCATGGTCGCCATATGTGCACTCGCCTGCCGTGACCCCCGTCGGTGCCCGAGGAGGAGGAGCAGGGGTACCTAGAAGCCCCGAGGCCCCTTGGAACCCTGTGGAATCCCCCAAGAGCCCGATGGGGAGTGGGGGGCCTGAGGCCCCAGTGGGGCCCAGGGGCCCGAGGTCCACCGACGCCTTCTTGATCCCTCTCAAGAGCCCTATGGGGCCCCTTGCCTTAGACGCCGTCGGGGTCCATCAGACGCCATGGCCACTAAGAGGCCCTTGAAAACCTTGCGGCGCCACCTGCGGGCCCCACATGGGCCTATCCAAACCACCACTTTGGCCAAACTGGGGCCGCAGTGGTGCCCCCAGACACCCTGAGCCCCAGCGGGCCCATAAGAGAGAAGCCAAGGAGCTCCGCCCAGATCGGATCACCCCTCACGCGGATCGTCGGCGTCGGCGCGGCGGAGGGCGGCAGCCTTTTATCCTGTGCTGCGCTTGGTAGCCGCTGATCCTGCTGCTGCTGCTGCTGATCATCATCATCACCCTCCCCCCTCCTCACGACAATGCAGCTGGAGACAGTTTCGTCAGCGGGGCACCGCCTCAAGCCCCGATGTGACCAAGCGGCACGGCAGACACGGCACAATCGACGATGGCGGCACGGATGGAGGGCATTAGGAAGATGAGGCGTTCACCATCGCGCAATCGATGTGTCAACAGTCACTCGGGCCATCTCGAATGGACATCCCCCACCATCCCCATCACATGTCATTGCCCTCCTCGCCTTGCCACCCCGTGCAAACGATCAGCAGCGCCCGATGTCGCCACGAACCCGTGCATCGGGCTCGCCGCGCCCCGCGCTGAGAGGGGGGGCGGGGAACTCAAGTCACAGCGCGCGCTGAGCGCGCAACGCAAGTGCACAATGCAACTACGATGCCTCGAAACCGAACGCATCACATATCTGGCTCTGAATCCACCTCGCCTGGGCGCTGCTGTCGCTCAGCTCGCAACAACAACCTGCCAGCCGCCGATGTCTTGAGCACATCCCTGGCCGCGCGACGCATGGCACGGGTGGGCTCGAAACGCTGGTGCGACGCCCTCCCATTGGGATCTCGACATCCCTCGCAAATCCATGCCGCGGCAAAGCCCATCGGGCGCCCCTGATTAGGGTGACCAGGGGGTCTCGTAAAAGGCTTGGTCGTGCGGGTAACCCTGCACAAAAGATGCTCATGATCAGGGTTTCTGCAAGATACCTCGACGCTCCTAGTCGACTTATACCAAGCGATTTTGCTGCCGAATTCACTGCCTGTTACAAAATACGTGATTACATTCGGCAGGGCAAACACATCTGCTGGAAGGGGCGGCGGAGGAGGTGGGGGCGGAGGTGGGGGCCCTGGCGGCGCCATCGGTGGAGGCAAGGGCGGGGCAACGAAGGGAACAGGATGCACGTCCATAGCCATAACTGGCTCTGGCTCAGGTGGCTGGGGGTCTGCCTCAGGAGGCGGTGGACGGGGCTCTGCCTCGGGACCTGGGCCAGGAGCTTCGGGCGAGCCAGGAGGCGTCGGGTGGTCGAGGGGAGCGGGGGGCTCGTCCGCCCCGCCCGCAGAGCCCGCCCCAGCCTCGCCCTCAACGTCCGAGTCGGCGTCGACGGAGGACTGGTCCGACTCGCCGCCGATGCTCATCCCGTCCTCGCTGTCGTCGCCATCATCTCCGCTGGCGTCCTGCGAGGAAGGGGCTGGGCATCTCACTTCTGGGGGCACCAGGGACTTTATGGACCGACCAGGGGTCGTAAAAAGCGAACCCTGCTCCCTTCCCCCGCAAGGGGAAGGGGTAGCGGGGGCGGTGCGAAGAAAAGGTGGGCAAGGGAGGAACGGGGACATACTTCAGCAATTGTGGCGGCTGTGGGTGAGATGGGGCAGGTGATGCAAGCGGGGCGGGGTGGGGGTGAAGGCAAGACAATCCCGCAGGCTGCGTTCTTACGTGCCCACCTCAAAGCGTTGCCCCGCGCTAGCGCCATGCCTACAGCCCTACCGCACCAGGCCGCCCCCCTGGCCCAACGAGCTCTGAAAGCGACTGGAGCGGCAACGAGGGGACGGGCGAGGGGGCTCGAACGGGGGGGGGTGACCGAGATCGCGCCGCCAAACGCACCCGATAAGACTGACTGCATCCCCTCGCAAAGCGCATTGCCCCAATTACCTGGGGGGGGGGGGGCAAACGCCTTCAAACTCCTTCAAACTACATGCCTTCGAACTACATGCGAACATCCACCCTGACAACCGCGCCGACTCCGCAGGGAGGGGGCGTTGCCCAACGAACCGAAGCTCTGTGTCACCACCGCTGTCCGTCGACCTACATAGCTCCGTATACGCCGTATACGTGCATTGTGTGCCCCCCACAGGCGTCCTCGTCCTGATGGCCGCAGTCATCATCATCCCCGCCGTCATCGGACTCGCTGGCGCTTGTCCGATCCTCCGCGCCATCCTCCAACGGCAGCGCGCCAAGAGCGACGGCGCCCCCTCCGTCGGGCCCCCCAGCCGCTGGCGCGGCGTCCGCGCCTGCATCAGGCGCAGCTCGGCCGCGGCCTCATCGGAGTCCCAAATCATCTTGCTTCGCTAGTGGGGGATGCTTGGCTCTTAGCTCATGGATGGTTGGTGGTTCTGTGGGGCGGGGGCTCGACGCGTCAGTGCTGGGCTCGGCCCTTCCCCTTTGCGTTTCGGGAGCCGCTCTCGCCATCCTGGCCCACCGCGGGCCCCAGGCGGTCCAAGGGCCAAGATGCATCAGAGATCAACGACCTAGAGCCCAAGATAGCCTCAAGGCTGCGCAATTCACATTTTTATTTCGAAGGCCCCAGGGCATAACGTAACGGGGAAACTGCAACGCGACAAGGCGCAACACAGACATCATATGCAACGCAGCACAATGCAACACAGCAGCAATGCAACAACAAATGCACAAGGCACGCGGTATCTCTGATCGCGTGCCTTGTGCATTTGTTGCGTTGCTTGCTCCCGTGCATTGGTGCGTGAGGGCCAGCGCCTGTTTCGGGCAACCCCCCGCCCTCCTCACACCCCCTTGATCCTCCTCATCCGCCCCCACAACCCCCATCGTCATCCCATCCTACTCCTCGTCATCTCCAGTGGGTGGGTGTTTGGAGAAGAAGGGGGATACGGCCTCGACCACGTCCTCGTCCAGGCGCCACGCCTGCGCGCCCACCGCGGCCCCTGCCGCGCGTGGCCCCGCGACGCCGCCTCGCCGCGGCTGGCCAGACCTGAAATGGGTCCACGCCTGCGAGCTCCTCTGCAATCACAACCGCTGGAACGAAGGCCAGCCGCTCGCGGTCGTGGACCTCCACAATCAGAAAATCAAGCATGATCCTCAGCTGCAGCGGGACGGAGGCCAGCGCGATGAACGTCGGCGGGCTCAGCCCACAACCCTTCGGGGCGCGCGCAACCCGCCGCGCGCCGCTCCCCCCCCCACCAGAAAACACATCGTGCGAAGAAGCGGTCGTAAAATCGTCATCCTCACAAGTCGGAGGCTGAGGAAAAGGGGGTGAGGAGGAGGAGGAGTGTGGAGGGGTGGGAAAGGTGAGGAGGGCGACAAGGGGGGGGGGATGGGGCAAGTGAAGAGGGGGAATGAGAAGGGCTGGCGAGGCCGAGGCGGGAGGGATGAGGAGGGGGGGCGACGCGATCGTTCCTCATGCTCATCCCTCCGTCCCCTCCTCCACGCTCCTCCTTGCCCCCATCATCGCGCCCTCCCTCTCCCCCCCCTTCCCGCCCCCAGCGTCACTCATGTGGTAGTGGGGGGTGGGTGAGGGGTTGACGGAGCCTGACCTTCAAGCAGTGCTCGTCGTCCGTAGCGCACGCGTCGTGCCGCTCAGCAGGCGACGCGGGCGTCATGGGCTGCATCATGAGCTCGTACGGCGAAAACTTCACGCCCGACAAATGCCAATAGAGTGGCTCCAAACCAAGATCATTCATGAGTTCGTCCTCGTCGCTATCGTCCGCCAGCCAGATGAAGCGGGCGATGGCCCTGCGGCAAACCAGGAGCCCTCTCGTCTGCGGGCTGGCCTTGCTGAACGTCATCTTCGTAGCCTGGAACACCTTGCGGCGCAACGCTCGCAAGCCGTCGTGCACCGCACCGCACACGCACATGCCGTAGCGCAGGCACTCTCCGTCCTTGAACTGCTCTGCTGGGTCATCAGCGGCATCACCAAGGGATGACAGTTCAGGATCGTCAGGTAGCAATCGGTGCATGTGGTTCCACATCATCTCAGCGGCCTGCTGCACATTGGACTGATGCGTGACGGACATTCCGTGGGCCGCCTCCTCGAGCAAGGCAACGTCGTCAGCGGAGCTCGACGCGTCTCGCTCAACCACGGCTGCTCCAAGAACAGGCGGCAAACACCTGAGAACCCCGCTCACGGGCCCCAGCGATGGGATCGCATGCACCAGCTCGGGGACGACCCTTCTCGACTCATCATCCCGATACAACTCGAGAAGTTGATTGTCTGCTTCTTCCTGGAGGCGCTGATGGCGAGCCAAGCCCCTCCGATAAGACGCTACCGTGGACAAGGTATCCTTCAAGCTCGTTCCTGAAGCCCCGCACTCACGGATCAGGAAGTCGACTGTGTCATCGGGGTCACGGCCAGCAAACCTCTCAATGGCTGTAGTCGCAAGCCTGGCGTTGCGATGCATGCCCACTTGCCGCTGGGTTGGCGGGAGGGCGCGGGAGCCGTCACGGGCCCTCGCGGCAGCTCTCCGACCTTCCTCCGCCAGGCGCGCCCGCTCAGCAGGGGGCAACGCGCGGTACCGCGCCGACACCTCCCTCATGTCATTGATGCCCTGCTCATGTTGAAAAACGCCCCAAGCGCCTGTATGATGCTCGTGCTGGTACCTTCGGCGCTCAGCTGCATGTGCCCCAGAACCTCCGCCAGCACGCGGCTCGTGAACTGGCCCGTGACGTGGGCGGGTGACATCCTCAGTTTTGGCGCGGCTGTGCACGCCCACGCAAGCTGTCGACAGGTCAACCGCCTTGAACTGGGGGCACTGCGTTCTAGACTTGACGATCTTCCGCATCTGGGCGTTGAAGACCTCGTTGGGGACGGTGTTGCCTTGGATCAGCATGGCCATAGCCGCCAAGCGCATCAAACACTCCTCGCCCCCCAACCGACATGATGATTGCAGCTCCTTCGTGAACGCGTCCTTCATGCAGTCGGGGGCGGCCTCCATCGTTGGCCCCAGCTCGGGCTGCTGGAAGAGCTGAAACAGTCGCGTGGGAAACCCTTGGTTCACCAATGCAACCTCCTGGGTTATGGTGGCGAGAGCGTCGGATATCATGATGAAGGCGAGCGACGTGTTTCTGTTCTTGACTTCCTCTGGCCTGATCAAGTGCCAGGCCGCTGGGGTGAACAGTAGCAGCATCATCTTCTCGAAGCACCTGGTCTCCAAGACGCCGTCGGCAAGAACCGTGACAGGGAACGATCTGTTAATGCCGACTGTCCCCTCTGCGGTGCGCTTGGCAGCATGTACTCGTTCCTTTTTCTCGAACTCCTTCGACGTCAAATAACAATGTTTCCGCAGCATCGCCTGCAAGGGCCTCAAGATGTTGCTGGCGAGAACGAAGAATGTGTGGGGGACTGGGCGTTTATTAGACATGAAATCCATCGCGAACGCCATATGCTTGTTGAGCCTCTCTCGGCGGCTGCCAACGCCAGCGGCCTCCGCATCGCCACCCGCGCCCTCGTGGGCGCCCATATCGTCGTCCTCGCACTCGCCGGCGCCAACGTCGTCCACGCGACCGTCAACCAGGGCCGCCAACGCATGCTGCTTCGACCGCCCCCTTCCGAACGACCTGCACCATGACGTGAATGCTGGGCCCAAAAGCCCATGACGCATCTCGATGAGGCCCGCGTCGCAGATCGCCGACTCACTGGTGCCCCACTTGCTCCTGATCAGCACTCTCAGGGCACGCGGCATCAATGCGTCTACCATTGAATCTGCAACCGATGTTTTCAAGACGTCTTCGTCCAGGCCAGCTGCAGAATCAACCCATATGGTGATCTCGCGCGTGTCGGCCATGGAGCTGCTGGGCAAGAGAGTGAATAACACGCGCCTGCGGGTCTTCTGGCCGTCTCCAGAAACGAACGACTTGAGCACGACATGGTTGTAGATAACGTCGTCATTTGATGGGCTGCCTTCTCGGACCCTGAGTCGGCGGTGGACCTCCTTCCAAAGATGAGTGTTAAAGGAATGCTTGCTCCCCGCTACTCTGAAGCACAGCGATAGGTGGATCACCCCCTTGATGCCAACGTCGACGTGCTTCATGGCAATGTTGTGTGCCCGCACTATAGAGTGAGCTTGGCACTGGTAGAAAAGACGAACCCATCCAGGCTCACGCTTACGGTCCAATATGCGTTCTCCAGCTCTGTTCGACCTGTGGCCGTCCGCGTCCGTGATCCTCACTTTGTGGCTGAACGTGCTCTCCGACAGGGAAGCCGACCCAGACTCCATCAATGCAAGTGCCTGGCATGCAGCCGAAGTGCTCGCCAACGGCTGAACCTGGCATACCACGTCGCCGACGAGGTAGACGTAGCGCATCTGTCCATTCATCGTGAGCCTGACGAGGTGGCAATACCGAGCCTTGGTGGCGAAGAGCTTCGTGATCGTCTTAGGCTTGAATCCGCGGAACGCCCCCCTCAGCAACGCCACAGCTAGGGCCCGAGATGTCATAGTCGCGACTTCGGAACCCGCGGCGGGGGGAAGTGCAGAAGGGGCGCCTCGCGATACCTCGCGATGCTCGCTCATACTCTGGAGCTCCAAGGGCGTCTCGTCATACGATACGTGGTCACACGCTTGGATCAGCTCGATGTGCGCACCGCGCGAGCGAGCGCGAAGTGCAATCAGTTTGACGATATGGTGTCTATGCCAACGGTCCAGGAGCCACGCCCAAGCAGCCGCTCTCCCCATCCTGCTCTTGAAGGCCCACTCGGAGGTGTTCAGGGACGCGGCCTGCGATGCAAGGCTGGCGCGCACAGCGCCGCCGAGGCCCTCAATCAATAATCCTCTGGCAACTTCTGAAGGCTCGAGGTTATGGCGACGGGCAGCACTCAGTATAGATTGAATTCTGGCCGTCAGCGGGCTCTCCCAATAAAGCCTCTTGCTGGGCAGCGCTGCAACGACCTCGGCGTGGGACAGAATGAGCGCAGTGCTGTCGGCGATATCTGCATCCAGTCTGGGGCGTTTGGCGGGCATCGCATGCTGCTAAATAGCAAGAGTGTGAACTCCAGCCATCCCTATGGGCGTAAAGGGCTTATCGAACTCTTCCCTATTCCCCCAATCCAATCTTCCCTCGGGGGGGGAGGGGGGGCGCACCCCCCCCCGACCGCCGCCCCCGCGAGCAAGCGGCTTCAAAACTGTCCCTGGATGCCACCCGAGACGCCTACCATGGTACCCCGACCAACGTCCAAGAGGCCTCTCACCCACAACCCAAACACGGTGACAGGGTGGGCCGAAAACAGCTATACATACATATACATAGATATATATTATATACACGTTTGCATTGTCCCCCCCTCCCCGCACACCGTCAGCTCACGGGCGCTACCTTTGAATGGGCTGGCGGGGATGCGCGAAGCGTTCTGTATTCGCACGCGTGGCCGCGCCCAGCGCACGGCGCGCCCAGCGCCCTGCGCTTCTAGCCAAAATGGCTGACGAGGCGAGGCACGGGCAAGGCGGTGGGAGGCAAGGGCCAGGGCGTGTCGAGGCGAGAGCAAGGCGGAAAGAACTGCAATGAACAACACCGCGCATAGCGGAAGCAGAGTGCAAGCACTGCACTTGGGGAAACGCACGCGCCCATGCCATAACCGACATGCGAATCGGGCGCAGCCATGTTCGCCAGCGTGGGCCCCAAACAGCAACTATATGACCTCGTCGGCCCTCGGCCCCCGAGACACGGGCCTCATGATGACACCAAAAGCGCCCTCAAGACTACCGAAAAAAAGACGCGACGCTCGCCAGAGACATCCTCACCCGACCTAAGGGCCTGACCTGAGGGCCTCAGCATTGCCTCACCATGGCCCCATCGCCCAATCAACATATAGGAAGAATTTCGGTGCGATATTGAGGCCCTGCCTTGATGACCTCAACATGGCTTCAACATGGCCCCGCAATTCAAGCATTGCGGCCTCGAAGGAGGCTCTTATTTCTGCCCCATGACTACACATGCGACGCTCCTGCTACCACGTAGCCCACACCAGATAGTTAACTCAACGCGTTGCAAACAATCAATACCACTGCACGTCGCGCACGCGCAATAGCAGCCACACCACAGCGTACACCACACAGATTGCGCCACATTATTCACGCATTATGGCGCCCACCCCGACGCGCAATAGCGGTCGCGCAGCTTCGCGCGCACGTGCGCGATAGCACCTCAAACAATGAACGCGTTGCCCCGAACCAAATGCGACCCCATCCCCCATGAGAGCAATGCAAACACCTTGAAGGTGCTGCTAAGTGTCCTGGGGGATTTGAGGGGGGCTTCATGACAATGACAATTGGCAGATTCAGAGGGCGCCGAGGGGGGTATTGCTGCAGCCGGCTCTGTCAAATCGTTCGCGTGGTGAGGAAGTCTTGAGCGGAGCCCATGTTTGATGACATACAAGCGCCCCTGCCCAAAATGCCCCCAACACATACTATATGTGCGAGCTCTTACTGGGATTTTGTTTGGAGCTACGCCGCCTGGCGGGCACCTCGCGGGCGCCCCGTGCGCTGGGTTGGTCGACCGAGGTTTCGCCGAGTTGGACCCGTGCCCCCCCCGCAGGACGTGGTGGAGGAGGGCACGCAAGCTCGCGCGCGCACGCGCGAGCGCGCGCGCGCGCGGGCCTGCGCGATGTAGATGGGGTCCAAATATGAGCGGGGGGCGGCGCGCGGGCGCGCGACTCCCGCGCGAAGGAGGCTGGGAATGGAGGCGGGAGACGGCACGGGGGGAGGGCAAGGGTAAGGCGGAGCTTGGTAATGGAAATGCGAATATGGAAACGCGAAGAGGGGAACGGGGGGCGGGGGAGCGAAAGCTGAGGGGAGAAGGAACGAGGAACGCAGGAAGACAAGTAAGGGGAGTTGAATGGGGGAGGCATCACCCCACCTGTAAGCCCCGAGACCTCATAACCCACCTAACAGAAAGTGTATCGGGGCGCTTTTCGAACCCCGTCCCGTTTCTCCCTCCTGGCCCACCGTCTCCGCAGCGTTACCCTTATTATGATCCCCCGCTTCTGCCACCGACTTCCTGCTCGCTTATCTCGTCCTCCCCCGCCGCCGCCCTTTCCCCGCCCTCTCCCCGAAAACCGACCTTCCCCGTAAACGATCCAACGCGGGCCACCCAAGCCATGAGCCCTAAGCTTAAAGCCCCATGCCCGATGCCTCAAGCCCTACGCCCTAAGCCCTTAAGCCTTAAGCCCAAACCCATAAGCCCTCAGCCCTAAGCCCTCAGCCCTAACCCTAGACCTAAGCCATAAGGCCGAAGCCCTCAGCCTTAAGCCCGAAGCCCGAAGCCCGATGCCGTATGCTCTCTGCTCTAAGCCCGATGCCCTAAGCCCTACGCCTCGAAGCTTTACGATACGTTTGAGCGCTCTGGGCCGACCCGCGGCAAAACAATGCTACGCTTCGGCATCGATCGGGGTTCCCGACAGGCCATCATGCTGACATTTGATAAAGGGTTTACAAATCCATTTTAAGGCTTTCAACAAGGGCTGCTCAAAAAGCGCTCCCAGACATTTCCTGGACATTTAAATGGAATTCAAGGAATCGAGCCTCAGAAGGGGATCCAAGAATGCAACCCTATCCCTAAGATTGACACGCCAAAAGGCGACAACAATCTTGGGGATCCGCCCTCAAAAAAGAAGGGGATCCCTAAGATTGGCATCGTGACGAGGAGGTGCCCAGCATAGGGATAGGGATATGCTCCAGGCTGGTAAGTTCTTCTGCGAAGCACATGGCGCGCCAGCCGGGTCGCCCGCAAGCGCCGGATCTGGAGGGGCAGGCTCGTGACGGCTTCCAGGCAGCACCATCGGCGCAGGCGCCGGAAGCTCGGCGCACCACGGTCCGCGGCGGCGCCTGCCCGAGCCGCAGCGAAGCGCGACCGCGGTGCTGCACCGCCTCGCCGAGTACCCCAAGGGAGATGCTGGGCCGCATGGCACTCCGCTCGGGTGGCTCGGAGTGCCCGGAGGAGGTGCCCGGAGCGATGCTGCACCACTTCGCCGAGTGCCCGGAGGAGGTGCCCAGAAAAGATGCGGAGCACGCGGCTCGGCGGCGGTGCGATTAGACCGACGATGTCGCAGCGGCGTGCCAATCCAGAACTGCAAGGGAGGAAACGCAGCTGCGATGCCAGAGCGCCGGTAGGGATGGCTCGGGTAGCATGCTTGGGCGTGCTTTCCGACCGAGGATGAGGATGATACTGCGAGGGCAACCACGATGCGGAGTATGAGGACGGCTAGGAGGAAACATAAAGAAGCAGGAGGAGCAGGGATGAATGACTGATTGAGGAAGGCGGAAGATGGAGGAGGGAGCGCAGGGGGAGGGAGGGAAGAGGAATGATGAAAGGCGAGAGGGATAGCGACAGTAGGAATGGAGGATGAAGAGACGGGGGAGGGAGTGTGGGGTGAAAACGGAGGAGATATATACAAGATGGATGGAGGATGGTTGGGGGGGAGGGGGGGGGAAAGAAGGAGGGGCGGCGGGAGAAAAGGACGAGAGGGGGGAAAGAGGGAGGAGGGTGGAAGGGGGGGGGAGAAACGCAGGGAGGGAGGCAGACGAAGAGGCAGCACGGCAGAGGCACGCACGAGGGAGACAGGGAGGACGAGGAGCGGCAGCCCGCTGTTGTGGGCGGAGCTCCCGCGAGAGAGAGCGGCCAAGAGATCCGCCCAGTGCCGCGGCGGCGACGCTCGCCTGCGTTGGCACCGCCGTTGAAGCGGGCGCAGAGCTGGACGTCCTCGGCGGCGGAGGGAACCAGTGGGCGGAGGGGGATGCGCCGTCCTCCTCTCCGTCCTCCTCCTGCTCCAGCTCCTCCTCGCCCTCCTCCTCCTCCTTGCCCTCCTCCTCCTTCTCCTCCTTCTCCTCCTCCTCTTCCTCCTCCATTCTTTCTCCTTATGACTAACTTCTCCCTTTTGCATCCAGAGGCCAATTTTTGGGGCGGGCCGGGCGTTTCGTCGGAGATTTCCTCACAAGTTATGACTTTGAAGCTCAAACATTTGCAGCAATTTCGCCGATGGAGGGCGGGTCGTTTTCAAAATGAGGCTATCGCTTTAGCGCCGCGCGCATTCGTTTCAAACAAATGCAATAATTGTACGGATGGAGTGCGGGTGGTTTTCAAAATGTGGCTCTCACTTTAGCGCAGAATTCCTCCTCTTTTGTTTAAACAAATATGTTTTAACACATGTGCAACAGCTTCACGGATCGAGGGTGAGTCGCTTTCAAAATGTGGCTCTCGCCTTATCGCCGCGCACTTTCTTTTGTTTTCAAAAAGGATGCAAGAGTTTTGCGGATGGAGGGCGGGTGGTTTTCAAAATGTGGCTCTCGCCTTAGCGCCGCGCTCATTCGTTTAAACATGTGCAATATTTTACGGATTGGATGCAATTGGTTTTCTCGTTTAGCGCCGCGCACATTCGTTCTTTGGTATTACAACTAAAAACGCAAGAGTGTCACATGTTGAGGGCGGTTCCTTTTCAACTTGTGGCTCTCGATATAGCTCCGCGCGCACTCGTCTTAAACATTTCGAAGAGCTTGACGGATCCCCACCATAGACGTACCAAGAAGGGCGCTCTGGGAGGATGCACGCGCACACGGGTGCATCAGTTATGTGGACTCGCAATGCCCAAATGCCAAGAGTGACGTTCTGGCACGACGCAAGATCGTCACAACGCAACATTCAGGTTTATCCATGGCGTTGAAATCCCGAAAAAAAAACAAAACGATGTTTTGGCATGCTTCAGAGTCTTCAAACAATTGCCTTCCAGCCACGCAGTCCCCTCAGTAAGCATGGGCCGCAGTAAGGGCCCATGAAGAGAGGGCTCGGAGGGAGGTTTTTTTTTCCACCATCGTGTTGATGCCTCTTGGCTTTAAACTGGTCCTCCTCCTCCTCTTCCTCCTCCTCCCGCCTGCTCGCCCCCCTCCCCCCACGAGCGCCGATGCCAAACAACCGCGCGGGCCTCCGAAGACTTATGAGCGTGGCTTTTGTTCCTGCGTCGTGTCTTCCCGCTCGGTTTCCTCAACCACTTCCTCCCGCTCCTCCTCCCTCTCCTCCCGCTTCTCAACTTCCGCCTCCTCCTCTGCTCGCCCCGCCTCCATGTTCCACCCCTCGTCCTCCCTCTCATCCTCCTCATGTCTAGGCCAACCTGCCGTGGCCCTGGACTCCCGAGCCCAAGCGCGGCCGACACAAGAAATCCGATGGAGGTCTCCGCAATATTGCGCCGCCTCTCCTCTTATATTATATGATAAAAACCGTTCCAGAGAGCACAAGAAGAGGGGGGCAAAAGCGAAGGAACAAGACAACAACGCATGCATGAGGCCAGTCGTGTTGAATCCCACCAGCCCTCTGGGCGCAGGTGGTCTAGGGAGTTTCCTCTTCCAGCCCCTTTCCTCCCCTTCGGGGAGGGGTTACCCCCTACCCTCTCCCCTGGACCTGGACGGGGGGGTTCGCGAGTGGTCAGAGCTTCCAAGATGGCCCAAGACGGCTCCAAGGGGGGCTCAGGACAGTCCAAAATTAACTCCAAGATGGTTCAAGATAGCGCAAGATGCCTCAAGATGGCTTTCAAGATGCTACAAGAGGCTCCAAGACCGCGCCGAGACGGCTCCAAGAGGCATCCGAAACCTCAAAAGGGGGCCTCCAAGAAGCCAAGTTCCGTCGAAAACCTGAAAGGGAAACCACTGATGTGCCTTCTCGCCTTGTCTCTTCCGATGGCCATCCGAGGCCCCAAGATGGCTCCAAAATGGCCAAAGAGGGCCCCGAGAGGGGCCGATGAGTGCCCCAAGACGGCCCAACGAGCGCCGAAAAGCGCTCCAAGAGCGCCCCGAGAGTGGTCAAGGAGGCTCTGTGGGGGGATCCTGAGGGGGGGGCGTAATTAGGGCTTTGATCGATCTCCTCCAAGATGGCCCGGAGAGCAAAACCTCCCAAGAGCGCTCCAAAAAGGCCCAAGAGGCACCCAGCCGGCCCCAAGAGGCGCCCAAAACGCTTCCAAGAGGCCAACAAAAGACCCCCCAGTGGCCTCAAGAGGACCCCGAGGCACCCAGGAAGCCCCCCAGACACTCCAAGAGGCCTCCAAAACATACACCGACAGCAACAGCACCACCACCACCAGCAGAAACAACGGCACCAGCAGCAGCACCAGCAGCAGCACCAACAGCGCGAGAACCAACACCACCACCAGCAGCAGCACCAGCAGCAGCAGCAGCAGCACCACCACCAGCAGCAACAGCACCAACAGCAACACCCGTACCATTCGCTACCAGAGATCTCCCAATTCACCGTTGTTGCCCACGCTGTTTCACTATGTGCCCGACCCCCTCGACCAGAACTGAAGGGGCCCTGGGAGACACAAAAAATACACACAAATAAATGAATTTTCCATATGTTCTAATATTTTTTCTGTGTTTTTGTCTTTCCCCCCTTCCCACATTTTCCATTTTTTGGGGGAACGACGATTGATTGTGTCTGTGTGCCTTTTTCCTTCATGAAGAACAACATATTGCAGAATGCAACACGAAGCTGTCAGAGGTCCGCGCAAATGATCAAGATCAGCGATGGCTCCCCCGCCCCCCTCCCAGGCGCGCGGGGCGCGCCAAGGGCGGCGCTGGAGGCGCCGACAGGGTGTGCCGGCGCAGATGCAAGCAATCCGCGCGGAGCTCAGACTGCTCTGTTTCTGTTTTGTTGGTTCGTCGATGTTTGGAGGGAAGCGCCCTCCATCGATGCGCGGTCGGAGGAGGAGGAGGAGGAGGAGGAGGAGGAAGAGGAGGAGAAGGAGAAGGAGAAGGGAACCGCACTCCATCGTCGCAGACAGAGGAGGAGGAGAAGGATGAGGAGGAGGAGGAGGAGCAACCGCCCCACTGGACCTATACGGTTAGGGGTGCTGGACGTCACCGCGCCGCGGTCCGTCCTCCCTCCCTGGGGTGAAGGGGCGGGTGGAGGGGAGGGAGAGGGGGAGGTGGGAGGGACCGCCAGGCCCACCCTGGCTCCTTCGAAGGCCCGCAAGCTGCTTCCCGGGAGCCGGGCCTGGCACCCCCGCGCCGCTGGCGGCCCCAGCCCCCCCCCCCTCCCGGCGGCCCCCCAGGGGGGTCCTCGGAGGCTCAACGGGCCGGGTTGCCGGGCCCGTCGGCCAGCAATCCGCGAGGGGGCAACGTTGCGGGTCTGGGTGGGGCCGCGGCGGGGAGAAGGGAGAAGGGGGAAAAGGGGGAAGGAGAGGGGGGGGGGGGAAAGAGGACAGAGTGAAGGTGGAAGAGGAGGCCGAAGAGGAGGAGGAGGAGGAGGAGGAGGAGGGGGGGAGGAGGAGGGCCCCACCTCCGCCGACCCCCCAGACCTCGGCCGGCTAGGAAGCCGCGCTGCGGGTCCGAGCGGGGCGGCGGCGGGAGGGAGAGGGAGGGGGAGAGGCGGAGGGGGCCCGCCCCCGCCGACTCCCCGAGAATGCGCTGGCCAAGGGGCCGCGCTACGAGTCTGAGCGGCAGGGCAGCAGGGAGGGGTAATGGAGAAGGGGGGGGGGGGCCAGGGGAAAGGGCGGCCTGGTTGCCGGGGGCGCAGTCCAGAAACCGCCGCGATCAGACCCCCGCCCAGCAAGCCCGCCGAGCCTCCCCCATCTTCTCCGAAGGCCCGCAGGCCCCTCCCGGGGCTGCTTGCCAGGAGGTGGGCCCGGCAGCCATGCGCCGCTCTGCTGGCGGTCTGGGGCCTCCCCGTCCGTCCAGCCCCCCCTAGCAGGGCACACCAAAAGGCGGCACCAGGCATCCCAGGGTGACGGATCACCACCCCGGCGGCAGGAGGAGGAGGAGGACAGAGGAGGAGGAGGAGGAGGAGGAGGAGGGGAGGAGGAGGAGGAGGGAGGAGGATGAGGAGGAAGAGCAGGGGAGGAGGAGGACGAGGAAGGGAATAGGAGGAGAGGAGAAAGGAGGAGGATGAGATGAGGAGGAGGGGGGGGAAAACGAGGAGGAGGAGGAGGTGGAGGAGGAGGAGCAAGCTCGAGGAAGAGTACGCCTTCCGTCTGGGCTTGCCTCTCGTCCTTCGTCGAGCGAGCTTCCCCGTCCAGCTCTGCTCGGGACCCCTCAGGGGAAGCGAGGCCGCTGCAGACAGTCCTGGGCGAGGATGTCCACGAGCTTGCCTTTGCCCTGGCGGGGGGCTGGGGGAGCGGGCGCGGGGGCTCTCGGGCCTGCAATACGGGGGGGAAAGAGCGGAAATCCCCGTTCCAGCTGGTCACAACCTTCCCGACGCCGGTTCCTGAGGCCGATCCCGGAGCTCGTGCTCCTCATGCCTCGCCACCCCCCCTCCCCATCCTCTGTGCTCCTCCCTCCCGCGTCCTTTGGACCCCCCCTTCCCCGCGACGCGACGCTGTAGCCGCGAGGCCATCTGTCATTTGCGTCGGGATGTGTCCTTTGAGTACGGGGTCGAGAAGGCCGTTGAACAGGGGGTCGGGTGGGGCCGTCGGGTAGGGCTGGGGGTCGTGGAGTTCGTACGGCAAGATGTTGTGGGGCACGGAGTGGTCGCCGGGCACAGGGCCGCGGCTTCCCTCACGTGAGGGACGTTGAGGAGGGGGAGTCGTCGTGAGGTCCGCCATGGGGGTCCGTCGCGGGGTCCTTCGCGGGGTCCTTCAGCGGGGGCGTCTTGGGGCCGTCCCTGTGATAGTTTCCCCAGGTATGCCCTCTGCGGGCTCCCTCTCGGCGGGTGCCCTCTCAGGGCATGCGGTCACTCGGGATTTGGAGTCCCCCGAGGGGCAGTCGGCGCCACTCACGGTCTAACCCACGGCTCCTATAATTGACCGATTCCCCGGGCATGCCCCCCACGGGCTTCGTCTCAGGGACCCAGGGCATGCGGCCACTCAGGGCGTGGCTGGGAGGTCGTGGGGTCCGAGGTGCGGGCCGTGGGGTAAAGCGGTTGTCGGGATAGGCGTAGTAGGCGCATGCCGGCAGTCCAAATTGCTGGCGGCCTGAGAGCCGGGGGCTGAATTCCAGGGCGCCCTGGTAGATTACCGGGGACCTCTCTGACTGTATACTCGATGCTGTGGTCGACATTGGCGTCTTCGGCGACGTCAAATTCGATGGCGTCTCCGTCTAACATGTTTCCTGAAGGCTGCTACCAGCGCCGCTGTCCGCCTGCGGCGAGCCGCTCGCCTGGCCGCGGCTCCCCCGACGTCTACTCGCGATCTGCCTGGCCCGAACGCCTCTGAACAGTGGGCTTGCTGCCGATGCACGTCTGGGACGCCGCGCTCCTCCGCTGGCGTGGCCCGCCGCGCCCCTGAGCGGCTCCTGCTCCTTCTCTCCTCCTTCGGCAGCCACCCCTGCCCCCATTGCATGTTCCTGCACGGTGGCGCACTTCGCCCCCACCGGCATTCCCCGTTGGTCGCTGCTCCTCCGCCAGCGCAGTTGCTCTGCCGAGCCGCCGACGCAGAAACAAAAGGGTTTGGGCCGCCACGCAGACGGGCAGCCCTCCTTCGAGCACTGCACGCGCCGCTGCCGACGAGCGCCGCGGGCGTTCCTCGGCGGCCCTCGCCGGGTGCCGCGCTGAGCCTGCCGCCCGCTGCGGGGACTCCCACCCCAGACGGGGGGGCCCGCGCCCCCGAGTCGGGCAGCGGCGTTCCTCCTCCTCCTCCTCCTCCTCCTCCTCCTCCTCCTCCTCCTCCTCATCCCCGTTCCCCCTCCTCCTCCCCGTTCCCCCTCCTCTCCCCTGTTCCTCCCTCCCTCCTCCCCTGCTGCCATCCCCACAAGAGACCAACAAGCAACGTTGGAAACCTCCGATCACGCCGAGAAGCGTTAAGCATTTGCCAGGAACCAACTGGGACCTCCTCCCGCCTCCCTCCTCTTCCCCCCTTGTCCTCTCCTCCTCTTCCCCCTTCCTCCCAGAGAAGCGACCAGATTCGCCACCGTGCCGCTGAGCACGGAGTGAGTGTCCCCGGGTCAAGCCTCAATCCTCACGCCTGCGGAGCCTTTCAGGAACCCAGACCCCAAATTCCAAAAATTCTGGGGGCTTCCCGCGTGCCCCCCGGGGGCCTCCGGCGTGCCCCCCTGGACTTTGCCGAGCGGTGGCGCGTGAACTTTCGGGCCCAAGGGCTCCGTGACAGGCCATGAGGACCCCAGACGGCCTCCAAGACGGTCCACGAGGGCCCCGCCCAAGACTGCCTCGTGCCAAAGAGGCATCCAAGACGCCCCCCAAACCCTCCATGACGCCTCCCAAGAGGGCCTCACGAGGCAATAACCATTGATTTCCCCTCGGTGTTTGAAGGATGTTGGCGCTTTCGCCTTTTCGGCTTCCCGACGCTCCAAGACGGCCCAAGAGGCCTCCAAGAGGGGCCCCGAGACGGCCTAAGAGCGCCCCAGGACGGTCCGCGAGGCGCCAGCGCCCAAGACGGCCCCAAGACAGCCCCAAAGGGGTCCAGAAGAGGGAGCACAAAACGAACATCCGAGCCTCCCACTCCGAAAAAAACCCAGGAGGCCCCATGAGGCCCCCACGAGGCCCCCAACAGGCGCCAAGAGGCCCCCAAAAGATACCCAAGAGAGGCTCCAAGAGGCCTCACGACGGCCCCCAAGAGGCCTCTAACCTGCCTCCAAAAAGCCGCCCAACAAGCTTCACTCCCACACGGTGGCGGGACGGGCCGAAGACCCTGAGTCCGCCGCCCCCTGCTGATTCATCACAAGGGTGCCCGGCATGCTGAACCCTTTCGGTTTTGGTTTTGGTTCTTTCTCCAAAAAAGCTCCCCTCTGGGGCTTCGGCGCGTCCCGCCTTCGAGCCCAGGACGACCAGAAATCTGCACAACGCCGCCCCCAAGACGGCCAAGATGACCCACCGTGGCCTCCAAGTTCGCCCAAGACGGCGAAGGTGGCCCCAAGAGAGCCCAAGCTGACCCCAAGATGTTTCCACGACGGCCCAAGATGCCCCCAAGATGGCCAAACATGGCCCTAATATGGCCCAATACGGCCCAAGAGGCCCCCAAGATAACTGAAGAGATTTCCAAGAGGAACCTCCAGGAAGGCCCGAATAGGTGAAAATCATTGATTGTCAATGGCTAGTTGAACAATTTTCTGGCGTTTGCTCATTTCCAGGTTTCCGACGGCCCAGGACAGCCCAAAAAAATCCGATGATGTCCCCAAGAGCGTCCAAGAGGCCTCCAATATGGTTCCTGTCGGCCCCAAAAAAAATCCCAATACGGCCCCAAGGGGGCCCCAAGAGACCTGCAAGGCGCTCGAGATGGCTTCCACGACGGCCCGGAAGCGCGCTTAGAAGGCTCCGCGTCGGCCTAGGGAGACCCCAAAAACGGCTTTCGACGGCGTCCAACGAGTCAGGAGCGCCCAAAACGAGGGAACATTGCACAACGGCCGCCCCCAAAAGGCCCGCGGAGATCTCCAAAAGACCACCAAGGGCACCCAAGAAGCACCCAGGAAGCCCCGAGGGTGCTCCAGAGCTTCTCGGGAGGTCTCTGGTGTATTCTTATTCGTCTTCCTCCTCCTCCTCATCCTCCTCCTCCTCCTCCTCCTCCCCTTCCTCCTCCTCCTCCTCCTCCTCCTCTTCCTCCTCCTCCTCCTCCTCCTCCTCCTTTTCCTCCTCCTCCTCTCCCTCACTCGCATGTTCCCCCCTCTTTTCCTTTTGCCTGTTCCTCCCCAAAATCTATTACGAAGGGCTTCCACGACGGCTGGTGTAATACATGGTCCAACAACTTGGCCAAAATCTGGCCCAACGTTTATAGCGAGCGTTTCGCCTGGGACATCCTGACACAATCGAGATATTGGCGGTATATGGGACAGGATGGCTTCCGATGCGGCTAATATTGCCAAATATGGTCCCAACAGTGCCCCAAGACGGCCCGAGCATTGCCAAATATCGCCATGGGCCCCAAGACGGCCCCAAGATTGTCAAATGTGGACGGCAAGACGGCCGAGCTGTCTCCATGACGGCCAAAAAATTCCAATGAGCCACCCCTTGCTTCGCGTTCCCCTTTTCATCCCCCCCTCTTCCAAATCCCGCCCCATTCATGTGCCCCCAAGAATTCCCCGAAATGTTCCCCCAGAAACTCGGGGAACACGCGCGCGAATACCACGGTTGCACTTTGCCCCAACGCATGTCCGCATAGGCGTTGGAAGACGCGTAAACCACCATAGCGACGAAATCAACAGCACCACGACGGCGACGATGCCAGCCACGACGTCGGCGCCGGCGCCAATGACGGAAGGTTTTTCAGCGCGACAACTCTATGATACTTTCAACCGTAGAAGCGCGCGTGTCAGCGTGTGACGCGGCACGGCAACTCTGTGCATATGCTACGCTAAAAACGCTGCCTGACGGCGCGCGGGGCGCTGCGCCGCGGCGGCGCCGGGCATGGCCCTGCGCAGGACACCCCGGCGTCCCTTGACCGCGTCGATTCCCATGTCACGCACGCGGTTTGCACGGCGTCTCCACGTGGAAGCTGTCGCAGCAGCCCCGGGCATGCCCTACGCCGAGGACGCCTGCGCCTCGCGGCGCGAGGGGCGACGTGCCGCGGCGGCGCCAAACATGGCCTTGCGCGGGACGTCCTGGCGCCCTGTGACGCGTGGAACGCCGCGGCGCGCGGGCGGATTGTCTCTTCCGCGAACGCTCGGCTTTCCTCCTGAGCTGTCTGCACTTTTTGTGGCACGCGAGTTTGCCGTGCTGCCTGAAAGTAAAAGTCTCTAACCATTTGTCGCAACCCTTGCGCTCCCGCAAATCCTTCCGGCCTGGGTTCGCCAGGCATTTCTCGCATTCGGCGCGGCGTTTGCCGCGCGGGTACCTGTCACAAGCGCTCAGCGGTGGATCGCCCCCGCATTTCTCGCAAAACCTTTTGCTCGCGCGGATCTCGCAGAGTTCCCGGGGCCTCTTCTGATCCGAATGGAACGGGGGGATGCCTATCCCGAGAGCAGTGTCAATGCGCGAGCACATGCCACACTCCACTTCGGCGCGCGACCAGGATCGGAGGCCCAGATTGGAGCGCGACGGAATGAAGCACTCCAAACGCAACGGGCCAAAATCGATAACTCCGCCGACTAAATCCACGGGTAGCTTTCGCGCGCAGCATATCCCGCAAACTGCCGACGAGGTAAACGGCTGACCCGCGGCATGGCCTCCTTAGAGGCGGCGCAACCCCGCCATTTCCCAAGGATGGGCCGCG